TTTTTTTTTTCCTCACGAGGTGGGGTTGGGCTGCACCTACCAGGCTTCAACAGCTATTCCTGGGCTGTGCTCAGGGGTCTGTGGCAGTGCTTGGGGGACCATGAAGTGCGAGGGAAAAATCCTAGGTCTTCCAGGTGCAAAGAATGTGCTCAGCCAGTTGGCCTGTCTCTTTGACCTTTTAAAATAATTTTAAAAGAAAATTGATTATTTGACTGAAAATAAGGACAAGGTTATATAATGTTCATTAGGTTCACAATATAAAAAAATAAATTATCTGACAAAAGTATATTACAAAAGATTAGACAGGAGAAGTAAAAGTATCCTTCAGGCTTTTATATGTAATATAATAATTATATTATATGTATTAACTTCTTATATGTAAGAAGTTACATTTAATATCACTTGAAGGAAGACTATAATAGGTTAAAGATGCATTTTGTTAACCCTAGGGAAAATAACGAATAAAAAAAGTTGAACTAATAAGTCATCCAGAGAGATATAGTGGAACAAAAAAAAGTTTTTTTTGGAAAGGCTGGACTAGTAGGCATTTCTACCAACAGTGAAAGAGTGTCCCTTTTTCTCCACATCCACGCCAGCACTGGTTGCTTTTGTTCTTTTGAATGTGTGCCATTCAAAAGATGATATCTCATTGTTGTTTTGATTTGCATTTCCCTGATGGCTAGTGATGTGGAGCAATTTATCATGTGCCTTTGGCCATTTGTATTTCTTTTTTGAGGAAACTTCTGTTCATTTCTTCTCCCCATTTTTTGATGGGGTTGGAGGTTTTTTTTTCCTTTTACAATCCTCCTAGTATCTTGTATATCCTGGATATTAATTCCTTATCAGATGAGTATTGGGTAAATATTCTTTCCCATTCTGTGGGCTTTTTCTGTATTTTGGTCACTGTCTCTTTTGAGGTGCAGAAGCTTCTTAGTTTGATGTGGTCCCATTTGTTTATGTTTGCTTCCACTTGACTGGTCAGTGCTGTTTCATCCTTAAAGATACTTTTAGCTTCAGTGTCCTGGAGATTTCTGCCTACATTTTCCTCTATGTACCTTATGGATTCATGTCTGATATTGAGGTCTTTAATCCACTTTGGTCTGACTTTTGTGCATGGCATTACACAGAGGTCAGAGTTCATTTTTTTTTTCAGGTAGCTATCCAGTTTTCCCAGCACCACTTGTTGAAGAGGCTTTCCTTGAAAACAATATGGACAGTCCTTCAAAAACTAGAAATTGAGCTTCCATATGACCCCACATTACCACTTCTGGGAATATATCCTGAGGATGCAAAAAAGCACAGTAAAAATGACATCTGTGCCTATATGTTTATTGCAGCACTGTTCACAATAGCCAAAATCTGGAAACAACCCAAGTGCCCTAGAAGAGATGACTGGTTAAAGAAACTGGTACATCTATACAGTGGAATACTATGCAGCTGTCAGGAGAGATAAAGTCATGAACTTTGCTTATAAATGGATAGACATGTAGAGTATCATGCTAAGTGAAATGAGTCAGAAAGAGAGGGGCACACATAGAAGAACTGCACTCATTTGTAGAGTATAAAACAACATAACAAGAGGCTGATACGTAAGGATAGTAGATACAAGGGACAGGAAGATTGCTTCATAGCTGGAAGCCTGCCTCATGAGCAAAGGGGACAAGGCAACTGGAATAGAGAAGGTATCACTAAGAAAATGAGGCTCGAGGAACTGGTCGGGATGGGAGATGTGTACAGAAAGTAGATAAAGGCCCAAACATGGTAACCTCTCAGTGTCCGTGTTGCAGACTATAATGCCCCAAAGTAGAGAGAGAGTATGGGGAACATTGTCTGCCCTGGAGGCAGGGGGAGGGTGGGAAAGGGGGGGTATGCCGGGGATATTGGTGGTGGGGAATGTGCACTGGTGGAGGGATGGGTGTTTGATCATTGCATGATTGTAACCCAAACATGAAAGATTGTAACTATCTCACAGTGATTCAGTAAAATTTTAAAAAATTATACAGTTGGAAAAAATAATAATATTTCAAGAGTAACAAGGAAAGGGAAGAGGAACAGAAGGGGACATAGAGAATAGCAAGATAATAGATATAATACTGACAAGGTATAGTCATCACGTTAAATGTGTATGGTTTGAATCAAATTAAAAGTCAGAAACCATCAGATTGAGTGAAAAGGGAAGAAAAGGGAAAACCTAAATATAAATCACTTACAGTATATGTATTGAAAAACCAGTAGTGTGTTAAAAGTAAAAGAATGGAAGTAGCTAAACCTTGGAAGTACCCATCAAAAGAAAACTGGAGTAAACAAGCTAATAGTAACCTAGTAGATTTCAGAGCAAAGAAAATGACTAGATATGGGGCCAGAGACACTATATAGAGGTTAAGGACATGCCTTGCACTGTTGGGTATGACTCTGTGGCCTGTGAGCATTGTTGGGATGGCCCAGGTAATAGCCATCACTTCACATTCTTGGGCCCTCACCTTGAACCTCCAGCTCTGTTGACCAAGAATTGCTTGGAGGGGTCCTCCAGGCCAACTGAGAAGCAATTGGAAGACATCCCTCCAGAAAAAATAGAATATTACTATGTATAAAAAATAACACTTTGGGGCCAGAACAATATTACAGCAGGTAGGGCATTTGCCTTGCAAGTAGCCAACCTGGGTTCAGTTCTCAGTAGCCCATATGTTCCACCGAACACCGCCAGGAGTAATTCATGAGTGCAGAATCAGGAGTAACCCTGTGCACCGCCAGGCATCGCCCCCAAACCAAAAAATATATTTTGTTTCAAAACCCAAAAGGGTCAGTCTATCAGGAGAACACAGCATTCCTCAGTGTTTATTGCTGTCCAAAAATAGCCATGCAGCAATTCATGGAAGCAAAAATCTGATAAAACTTCAGAAAGAGAAATGGGCATGTCCATAATTGTAGTTGAGATTTTCCTCTGTTCTTGTATGGCAAGAGTACGTTGTGAGAGTTAGTTAGCAGTAGAGTTAGTCACCAACTCAGTTTTGTTGGTGACTTAGCATCATAATCATAGCAGTACTCCATGGTCAGTAATTGATTGTACATATCTACTAATTAATAGATTAAGTAAGCAGGAATCAATAAGAAATGGAAGATTGGAACAGCACTATCAGCCGAATATTTTATTTGACCTCAGTAAAAAATTCTATTTAGCTTAAGCAAAATATGTTCTTTCCAAATGTACACAGAACATTTCACAAGGTAGAGTGTATTCTGGACTATAAACAGGATTTAGTAAATTTCAGATCATGCAAGGTGTGTTTTCTGATCCAAATGAAATCAAAATAAGAGTCAGTAACAGAAGCATCTCTGGAAAATTCCTAAATGTTTGAAAAAGTTATATGATTCTGAAGAATCCATCAGTCATAAAAGAAATTTCTCAAAAGAGAAATTACTATTCTAAACAAAATACACCAGAAAATATACCAGATCAAAATTTATGGGATAGTGCTTGAGATAGTCCTTCAGGAAAAATTTGTAGCAGCAAGCATATTAGGAAAATACATATGAGTATGCCGCCTGCACGGCAGGGCCTGGCAATCCCCCCATGGCGTATTTGATATGCCAAAAACAGTAACAATAACGAGTCGCAATCCCCTGACCCTGAAAGACCCTCCAATACGGCAGCATTGGGAAAGACAAGTAAGGAGAGACTGCTAAAATCTCAGGGGTGGGATGAATGGAGACCTTACTGGTGCCCACTCGAGTAAATCGATGAACAATAGGATGACAGTGACACAGTGATATAATACATATGTATCTTAATTTAAAAAGATTTCTTTTTTGCATAAAGAATTCTGTCATCTTTGAGAAAGTGCTCTGAGGTTCAGTCCCCAACATGGTGTATGGTCTCCTGAGTACGTCCAGGTGTGATCTCTGTGCACGAGAGCTAGGAGCAAGCCCTGAGCACTGCCAGGTGTGGCCTAGAAGCAGAAACGTACAACGGGGATAGAGAGAAGATGCTCTGATTTCTCAGAGTGTGTTTGTTTTTAATTGTCACAGACAGCCTGCCAGGTAACAGAACCAACTTCAAGTGAGAGAGAAGGGCTCTAATTCTCAGTTCAGCTCAGAGTTTGTGTTGCTTTGAACAAGGAGCTTAACACACTTGTCTTCTCTAGCATGTGAACTCTTTCCTTCTAGAATCCTGTTAGCCCCTGGAACTTTGAAAATGACAGATACAAAGCGGAAAGCCTTTGTGTGAGAAAGAGATATAAAAGTGCTGAGGGCCACTTCTGCCTGTAGTAACTTGGGTACATTTGAATCTATTACAGAGATTTCTTTTTTTTTAATTCCATCACTGGTGGAATTTAAGTTGGACATCTGGTGACACAGTTACAAGAAGTCACATTATTTAACATTGAACTAATATTTGAGTTAACATGGTCACATTGAACTAACATTGTCTTTTAAAGACAATATTGTTTCTTAATGGCGGCGGATACCTCCAAAAAATGGGTTCTAGAAGTCTTAGTATTAGTGCTTTGATATCGCCTAAGATTAGTCATGCTTCAAATAACAAAATCAGGCATTTGATGACATGATTATCGGTACTTAGTAGGATTCTTTCTGCATTATTTTTTAACTGTTCCAGAGGGATGTCTTGCCACGGTGGGGCTGAGTCTATAAAATGAGAAAATGTTCCTCTTTGCAAGGGTCAGTCCAGTGGTTATGTGGTCTAAGCCAGCAGACCCAAACCTAGGTCTGCATGAGGTGATGGGAGCTCTGATTTGATAGTAATCTCAGGATTGTCATAAACAGAGGAGGAGGGCAGGGAGGGGAGAAAGCAGAGGGAGGAGATGGAGAGTTGTTTGACATAAAGGCACCCACCTCCCCCTAAAAGAAGCAGTGCTCTGGCTCTATCTGTCATGGTGGACATGACTCCTGGCAGCAAACAAGATGCTGTCTTTCCATGGATTGAGTTCTACTGACCTCCTTTAGGATGTTTCATAGGTTGTTTTCTTGTCTCTTGGTTCTAGCACATCAGAGCAGAGTCACGATGGTCCTGTTCGTCCTGGAACTGGAGTGGGTGCTGAGCACAGGCCAGGACAAGCAATTTGCCTGGCATTGCTCCGAGAGCGGTCAGCGACTAGGAGGTTACCGTACCAGTGCAGTGGCCTCAGGTCTGCAGTATCCTTTGCTGGACAAAAATCTCTTGGTGGGCTGTTGACTTCCTTTTTCATGAAAATTTGGGTATGTGCAACTTGAACACTTTTTGTTTTATTTGCTGTGCTGATTAAGATGTACGTAGATTCCCCCAGTCTTCATGTGTTTTCCTGTGAAGTCACTTCACCTGAAATCACCTACCCTGTTCAGGACCTTCTATGACACAAGGGGTGACATCTAGATGGGAAACAGCTCCGGTTTGTGAGCTTCAGCTGTCTCAAAGAATTACAGGACAGAGCAAGGAACATCATCAACAACATACTTTTATTTATCTGTGCAGAAGTATCTTATACATAAACGTTAAGGTTGTGAACATCCCTGTCTGTGCTGGGCAAACAAAACATACAGACCCTATTTACTTACAACCTATTTATTAAGGAATTGCCTTGCTACACACAGAATGTGTTAGGTGGAATCTGTTAGGTGTAGCACTCACTGCATGCTTTGCTCTAGGTTCGAGATTGTTCCAGGCTATGTAGAATGGTATCAGTGATATTTTTCCAGGACTCTCTCTAGGGTTCCTGGGGTTAGTGAGATTCCCTACTAGTACTGGGTATTGTATGTAGCCTCTGCTTCGCTGAGCAGAGACTTAACACGTTTGAAGATGCTGGGCACTGCTCTGATGTAAAGAGTGAAGGGTCTTCAGTAGCGTAGTTCAAAAAGCCTAGATTCTCTCTCTCTGCCTCTGACAAGTGAGGAAATAGGTGAAACAGATCATGTGTCAATCAAAGCTGTAAGACTTGCTTTCACGTTTTCAGCTCATATTTATCAACTGTCTTCTTCAGTAGTTCTCAACACTCTGACTTGGCACTGCACTGTGCTACTTCCTTGCAGACCTTTGGCAGTAGCTGTATTTTTGTGTGTGTCTAGGATAATGTCACTCTTACTTTCCTCACTGGAAGAACCTAATGGCCATTGAGAAAAGTTATAAAAGTGGCCAGGTACCAAGAAGACCAGAAGGAAGGGTGATAAAGAATGGGAAGGAGAAACAACTCATCTTTGAGAGCGTGGTGCAGTCTGTTATTAAAAACTCCAAAGCTTGGTTTCTAAAAATCAGTTTTGACAGGTTTGATGCTTAAGTTGATATATAAGAAACTTCATGGGGCTGGAGTGATAGCACAGTGGGTAGGGCATTTGCCTTACATATGGCTGACCCAGATTCGATTCCCCATATCCCATATGGTCCCCTGAGCACTGCCAGGAGTAATTCCTGAGTGCAAAGCCAGGAGTAACCCCTGAGCATCACCAGGTGTGACCCAAAAAGCAAAAAAAAAAAAAAAAAAAAAAAAAAAAGGAAAAGAAAAAGAAAGAAACATCTTCTTGACAAAAGATTAGTGATTTCTTAAGTTGTCAGGACTGGAAGAACCCTAGAGATCATCGTTCATCTCCTCCTTTTTCAGATGGGTTAGTGGAAATCCATGTACCTTATCAGGCCATGCAGCTAGTCAGAGAGAAAGATCTCCACCAGAAACAAGGTTTCCTGCCCTGGATCCCTATTTTCACCCACTGTGCTTTGATATCTTGAGAAAAGGACCAGTGGCATCCAGATCATTTGTTCCTAACAAGCTGCCTTCTTTATCACCAAACTTAGTGATAAATCTTCTGTGTCTTTTATATCACTTTAAAGAATATAGCAGTAGATAATTTTTGAAACTCTCTAAAAGTGAAAACAAAAAACAAAACAGACTTGCACAGAATTTAACTTGTCCTGACTTGGTAGTCCTTGACTCCTTTCTTCAGGCGTTTCCAAAAATCAGCCTCCTTTTTTGACTTTGAATCTATGATTTGTGTTCTCTCTCTCTCTCTCTCTCTCTCTCTCTCTCTCTCTCTCTCTCTCTCTCTCTCTCTCTCTGTGTGTGCCTCTGCCTTTATTTTCTCATTCAAGTGTGGCTGTCTCATCCAGTCCCACCTTGCTAGCACTGCGAATCTGTCCCTGTCTCCCTCTGTGGCTCTGATTTCAGGGCCACTGTGCCAAACCTTGCTCCTGGAAGCGTGTGTATCTGCTATTTTTCCAGTGCCACACACTAAGGCATAGCAGCTCTGCTTTTGCCAAAGGGTCTCAGCCAAGAACAGTTTGACTCTTCCAAGCCTGTAGGTTTTTTCCTGTGATCTGCCAGGTCCACAGGTTAATCAGCAGCCCACAGTGTTAAGGGTTCACATTTATTTATTTATTTATTTTCTAAACAAATAGATTTTATTTGGAGGATTTTTAGGTGCAGGTGTGTGTGTGTGGGGAGAGAGAGAGAGAGAGAGAGAGAGAGACAGACAGACAGACATACTCAAGAGAGAACACGGGCTTCTCCAAGGGTGGAGAGAGAGCCCCTACACACATCCTAGCATTAGACAATTAGACATGAAAGCATGAAAGTACACATCTCAAGAGGGGAGATGCGGGCGACACATGGGCTCGGGTACCACATGTGCTTGGCCACGTGGGTATATATGCACACATGGGCTCAGGCAGCATATGCGCCAAGGGTTCATATTTAAACCCAGCTTTGAAACAGTCTCCTGGGAACAGCCCAGCTCCCAGCACACCCCTTCTTTTCTCTTTTGCTACCTCCCATACTTCCATGAAATTTTTGGTTTTTGGTTTATTTGAGTTTTCTTGGGGGGAATTGTTTTTTAATTGATAATGGACAGAATTTCTGTTGACACAACTTACAGGTCTTTGAATAATAGCATTACCTCCATTTCTCTTCATAGTGAACTGGTGCTGAGCGACTTCTGTACAGTAACACATTTCTTGCCTTCTGCCCAAGTGGCATTTGAATCAGATTGAATTATGAACCTTTTTCTCTTTTCAAGCCTCTTGGAAGTGAGAGGTTATGCCATGAAAATAACCAAAATGCAAGTACAAAAATTAAGGAAAACAGACCGCTTCACAAATTGAATTGTCAGTTTCTGAGTAACCTCAAAACCTTTTGTTTCTCTGACTAAAGATCTGAAGGTTCAAATATTAAGTGACCTATAAATAATGGGAAAGAAAAGAATGAGGAAAGGAAAGGAAAAAGTAGAATCTGTCTCTCACTTTTAATCCCTTTACATGAAATTTTCCATGCTCCTATATAATGTTATATTGATTACTATCAAAATAAGCGACAATAAGAAAAAGACATAATTCTCCAATTTCACAGTGTAGGTCCTGAGACCTAGGAAGATTCAGTGACTTTATCAGCAGCTCATGTCTGTTACCTGGAAGGATCAGCTTTAGAATTTAGACCCGTATAATCTTCCAGCTCGTATCTGCACAGCTTATGAAATCAAGTTGAGCGGACTATTCCCCACAGTTGCAGGGCAAGTTAGTGCCCGGGAATAGAACTGTTCTTTTTCTCCCAAGTTACTCACTAATTGGTAGATTTAGAAATTTGTTCAGCCTCATCTTTCAGTGTTGTCAGTTTGACTTTATTTTGATCACATTTTTTATGTTCCCACAAATAATCCAGAAGCTCTTTATTTGAAGATTTTATTTGTGATGGAGACTTTTCAGTATGTCACACCAGTGGACAGAGTCGATAGAATATTTCTAGTCCCAGAGAGAGTGCTGATAAGGTATTAAGAGCACCTTGATTTTAATATTTCCTCATCTCATACTTAATGCCACTCAACTGGCTTTGAGGTTATATTATAATTTTATTTTGGCCCTCTTCCAAATAGCCTTTATTACTATTAATCACCTGAAATTGTTAAATATCAGATCGAGTCTTTTTTTTTCATCTGGGTTCTTATAATCAAGATAAATTTCCATTGGTTTTGTTCCTTAAACAGCTAATCTTACTTTATATACATGTGATAATTTGTAAGGGAGTACAAATCCTCCATGTTCTTAAAACTGGAAGAATCTGTTGTGCATTGTCCCCTTCGTTTTTCAAAAATGCAGACATTTTATTCTGAAAAGTCTCAAACCATGCCCCAGATTGAAGAAAAGAAAGGGCGCTCCACACCTGTTGCCTAGCGCTGCAGTTGATGTGTTTGCCCCTTTTTTGACTTTTCCTCTCTGCTGCAACATGGTTCAAAGCTAACTCTGAACCCAATGTCATTTCACCCTTACATCCTCTCCTGTGCTTGCACATCTGAAATCTCTAAGGACTTTTAAAAATTATCCCAGTGCTATTCTCAGAATTAAAAATCGCTTCTTCATATCAGTGAATAATTCTTCTTTTTAAACTTTAACTTAAAAAATCGATTTGGAAGTGGGATTGTTTGTAATTGGATACATTCACTTGTGCATCGTTCACATATAGACAGTCCCACGTGTTTTTGTTTGTTTTGTTTTGTTTTTGTTTTTTGCTTTTTGGGTCACACCCGGCGATGCTCAGGGGTTGCTCCTGGTTCTACACTCAGGTTCTACTCCTGGTGGTGCTCAGGGAACCATCTGGTTCTAGGTTGCTTTCCTGCAGGACGCGCAGTTTTAGGTCACTGCTGCTGGTCCAGCAGGACTGAGGTTTATGGGCAGTGCAGGTGGTACCAGCAACTCCCTGTGGCTCTGTCCTCCTCTCAGCCTCTTACTGATGGTTTCAGTCATTGCTGATCTTTGTCTCAGCAGGTGCTTTCTTTAGGCTTGCAAAATGGTAATCTTATAGTCCTGTCGCTTTATCTTCCCCCTGGTGTTAGTTGGGGTTCTTTTATGAACTAGAATTGTCACAAATTTTCACATAAATTTCTCATATTCACATATTTGGTTACCTTGAAATACAATGAGGAAAAGCCAGTAAATTATTAATTATTTCTCTTTAATTCCTCATTTTCAGAGTAGAGATTTAGTGTCCTGGTTATCTCTAATAAGGATCATTCTGTCACTTCTGTCACTGTCACTGCCCTCCCATTGTTCATCGATTTTTCTCTAGCGGGCCCAGTAACGTCTCCATTGGAGACTTGGAGACTTTGTTGTTACTGTGCTTGGCATATTGAATACGTCACGGGGAGCTTGCCAGGCTCTGCCGTGGGGTCGAGATACTCTTGGA